CTTCCAAATTGGCGTCCAGTCTCAGTGCTGAGAACAGACTATACGATTCTCGCGAAAGCTGCATCTGCAAGGCTTAAGAGGGTGTTGGCTCAGGTTATTACCGATGACCAGGCATACACTGTTCCAGGGAGGACCATCCATGATGGGATTTTCCTGGTCAGAGATTTGGTCAGTCTGTCGGAGCATTTGAACTTTCCACTTGCCTTTCTCTCCCTTGATCAAGAGAAAGCCTTTGACAGGGTTTATCACCCATATCTTCTTGGCACTCTGAAAGCTTTTGGTTTTGGGACCCGCTTCATAGGATTAATTAGTTTGCTGTACAACATGGCCCAGTGTCTGGTTAAAGTGAATGGTGGACTAATTGCTCCTATAGATTTCAGAAGAGGTATCAGGCAAGGGTGTCCTATGTCAGGACAGCTCTACACCCTCGTCGTGGAGCCTTTTCTGCATCTACTCCGACGCCGACTCGCCGGACTAACTCTAAAAGAGCCCAGTATGAGAGTGACCCTCACAGCGTATGCCGATGACATTCTCCTCTTACTGAGTTTTGACATGGAACGGCTGCACGAGTACCAAGAGGTTTACTCCCCGCGTGCATCCTCCAGGATGAACTGGGAGAAGTGAAGTGGGCTGCTTGTTGGGTAGTGGGACGAAGCCCGGTTCCCTAAGTTGGCCAAGAGAATAACGTGGAGCAAAGAGCGTCTGCACCATCTCGGTGTGCTCCTGGGGCCTGGAGAAAAACCACTGCAGGGAAATTGGGATTTCCTGAAAGAGAAGGTGAGGAAACGACTGGAGCCGTGGGGGCGCCTGCGCAAGTCTCTCACGTTTAGAGGGAAAACCCTGGTGGTGAACCAGTTGGTGTTTATGAACACAGTAGCACACAATAGGATTTGTTACATGGGAAAACCGTGTTATATCTTTGATTTAAAAAAGGGGGCACATAAGCAAAAAAAAAGACGAAAAAAAGACATGATGAACGAAGCAAAGTGCCGAAAGACCGAGCATCTTTCTGTTTCTTCTGATCGTTAAAAAAAAAGGAGGGGGGTGCTGGGAGGGAGGAGGGGGGTGCTGGGAGGGAGGGGGGTGCTGGGAGTGAGGGGTGCGGCTCATCCTGGCAGTGGCGGGCTCCGGCTCCAGTCCCAACTTCGCGTGGTTCCAGATTCCCCCGCGGGACGAATCCCTCCCCCACCACTGAGCAAGGGGTTCAGGCGGTGGTCAGTAGCAGTGCCAGATTATCGTAGTAGCTCAAGTAGCTACATATACTACGTGCCCTGCACTTTCAAGGGCCCCGCGCTAAATGCTTTCAAGCTATCAATTCCGGTTCAGTGATTCTGCACTTGCTCTATTACTATAGTACTATACCGCCTTCAACTTTTATGAACGACTGGGTGTTTAAGGTTATCGATTTGTCGTATTATCTGGCTGTATAGCAAATGAAAAAATAAAATGACTTTACTATGCAAGTAAAAAATATATATATACGAGGATAATCCAGCACTGGGTGTCGGGGTTGCGATCGAAACCCACGACCTCCTGTAGACCAGGCGAGGTAGTTAACATTGCACCGCCGTGTTCAAATGAGTATGGGGGCGACACTCGTCCCTAATGTGGCAATCCCACGTTTTGTATATTGAGTGTCAATGACTCCGTGGAGAGCATACGCAATTGAGAACATTGGCATGTCAAAGATATCTCATTGACTATAATAGATTTTTACCCTTTTATCTGGCAACAAAACTGATACCTTTTTACAAGGGATCATACTTGCATTAACCACAACACTTGCAGTCAAAATGCAAAGAAAAAGACAACACTGATAATGTATGCACTGTCCTTGAAATTGATTGGTCCACACCCGAAATAGCTTTTCTCACATGGTGTTGGGCCAGATGACGCCAAAAGGCGCACAACTCAAAGACAACGCACCATCAGATTATTGAGAGCTCGGGGTAAGCTTTTACATTATGAGATATAATAAAGGTATAAGTGGGCTTGGGCATGATGCGAAGCGATGATGGCCCAATGGTCGACACTCGTTACGCAGTGGCCACCAAGAGGAGAAAACGCCTGGGAGGATGTCCACCGCGGAGACGGAGTGATGAAATCAGCTCATGCATCGGGTGGTGGGGGAGGGGGGGTGATTTGTCACGTCGCAAGGTGGTGAGACATGGCTGTGGCTTAGGTGGATTGAGCATGGCTGATCACGATTGTTCTGCGCTATAAACATCTCAAAACATTTTAATGCGTTTAAAAACAGGTGTTTCTACGGTATGCATTTTTCTCGCTCTTGATTGTAAATGTTTGAATGGTTGCAAAGCCAAGGCCATGCAATATTAAAGAGTGTAGCAGGTTTGCTATTGTGAAGCAATATGCCTTTACAGGAAGCGCTTTTGTTAAATTACCAATTGTTTCCCCAAACTATTGTTTCGTTGCATGTGAAAATAATCAAAAATGACTCGTTCAAAATGCGGAGATGCAATTCGAAAATGGAAAAGCTCTTTTATTTGCGGCCCAAGTCCACGTCCCAAGAAGAAACGTCGATCTTTAAACATCGTTACAAACGCCCTCGTGGAAGAAAGTTTGAATCCCACCATCACGATTATTAAGTCTTTCCCTGCTCCATCAGTCAAATGGCTCGCGAGTCATTTTGGCCTCGGCGATCGCTCCGTGCATGCATGTCTCTGCTAACTCCGCCAGGTCGGTAACGACCCACTGGGTGGTCACTGGACAGCCGTCATCGTGCGAGGCACAGCGACTCGCAAAGCGCGGTGATAATGGCGATACCACCGGACGCCTCTCCGTTGGGGACGCCCGGACTTGCCTCCGACGTTTGGATGACTTAGGAACCGTCCATAAATGATGTCACGCGATTTTAGACGATTTTTGACCGCCCCTCCCCTCCGTGTCACAAGAAGTCAGACCCCCCCGGCCCTCAAATATGACGTCACAAAGCTCTGCCCCCCCCCCCCAAAAATAAAACATGCTTCAAATCGCTTTAAACTATTGTCATTGCAGTGCGTATTTAATGTGGTGCTGCACTCTGATGTTGTAGGAGAAAACATAAAAAAGTCTAATTAAGGAGAACGTGTCTATATTTAAAGTTGCGCATTTTGACGTGACGTCACATTTCTCAAACCCCCCCCCCCTCGTCACACGTCACAAATGTCTTACCCACCCCCCCCGGTGCGTGACGTCATTTATGGACGGCCCCTTAGAGCGGTTGCCAAAGCATCCTAAAATGCGGTCACACCTGTCGTGTCATTAACGTCGACTTTTGTTCTTGCAATTGAAGTCGCCACCAGATTGCACTCGCGTATGACGTTTTGTCTGATTGCATGTAGCCATAAACACACATTCGGAGCCTTCGGGAAAAATCGATTGCAATCTGACAGCCAGTAAACACCGATTCTGTACGTGGGGTCTTTTAAAAAGTTCCCATCCCGACTGTAATGTCTATCATTAATAGAAAGGATATGCAGGTAAAAAAATCAACTTTTGTGACAATTCAATCATTCTACGGCATTGATTGGCCGTTATGGCAAACAAGCATAGTACACCGATGTCTTATTTAAAGCTTTTTCTTTTAGTTAACTCAAAGCTGCATAAAAGCATTTGTAAATCCTGGTTGTTGTCTGTTCGGGTACGTGTGGCTGTGTGTGGGTGTGTGTGGGTGTACGTGTGTGGGTGTCCGTGTATGGGTGTACGTGTGTGGGTGTGCGTGTGTGTGTGTGGGTGTACGTGTGTGGGGAGCGGTAGCGTAGTGGTTAGCGCGCTGCGCTATGAACCCAGCCACCCTGGTTCGATATCCGCTCATGGCCAATACCGGTGACGATTATCTGAACCGGTCCTGGGCCTTCCCTAGGTAGACTCAGCTTCAAATGAGTACCTGGTGCGGTGTGTAAACATCGCCACTGGGGAGACAAAGGTGTTCGGGCGTGGTGCTGGCCACCCGCCCCCTCGTGTACCGTTTTGGCCTTCAAGGTGCTACTCGCTAACAGCACTTGCCCCTACAGTCTGGTAAGGCCATACGGGTGATCTTTGTCTTTGTGTTAAACTAAAACTACATTTTTTATTTTACCGGGTAAGGCTCACTGAGCTATGCAGCTATTTGTCAGAAGCGTCCTTGCCACAAATGATAGTCCAACGAAGTGGCTTATCACGTGGAGATTCATAGCAGCCAAATCCTCTCAACACACGTTTCTAAATGTGGAGGGGGGAACTGTGTACCTGCCCCAATAGGCTGTTGAAGGCTATAAGGGGAATCTTTGTCTTTGTGTAAATGGGAGTTGCGGTCTCAGCACACTGCACTACAATCCTGGTGATTTGCGTTCAAATCCTGGCCATGCACACACCAGCAACACGCCTCTGAACTTGCCCCCAGCTTCCCCTAGCTAAGCTTTGCCTGAAATATTTACTGAGAACAGTGTGGTCAGCGCCAGCGCCGGGAAGACAAAGGTGGGAAGACAAAGGTGCTGGTGATACTGGCCACACCATCCCCCCTCCTGTGCTGTGCTGCCTTAATAGGTGACCACTAACGGGGCTTTTCCTGACAAGTCTATGAGGCAGATCTTCACGTACGAATGTAGGTCTAAATGCAGGTGTACATGTATGTGTGAGTGTATATGTGTGTGAATGTGAAGGAAGCTGTGTGCATGTTGTGTATGTACGTATGTTGCATGTATGTTGAATGTATGTTGAATTTCTTTTGCACCGTACGTAGCCAACCATGTTTATCTGAGTGAATGTGTGTATGTAGTGGAGCGCGGTAGTAGAGCGGTTAGCGCGCTGCGCTATTAACCCAAAGGCCCGAATTCACTTCCCGCTCACAGCCAACAGCAGTGATGATTATCTGTACCAGCCACGAGTCTCCCCGAGGTCGACTCATCTTCAAATGAGTACCTGGTGCAGTGTGTGAACACATCCACTCGGGAGACAATGGGTGGCCAGGCACGGTGCTGGCCACCCACCTACTTCCTCGTGTGCCACAGTGCCGGTCTTCATAGGTGCTACTCCCTTACAGCACTTGCCCCAACATTCTGTGAAGGCTACGAAGGGGATCTTTGCGTGTGAGTGCGTGCGTGTGAGTGCGTGCGTGTGAGTGCGTGCGTGCGTGCGTGCGTGCGCGAGGTCTCAGTTGGGCACCAAGAGATTGAGGTCCTTGGCGACCAGCGTGCCGGTGACTGGGTGCATGCTCGCCCGCGCCGCCTGGAACGCCGCGATGGCTCTCCCACGGGCGGCGTCGTACGCAAACAGGTCCCTGGCAACACAGACGCACGCCAGCACACACACACACACAGAGTTATATACAAGCGCAAACACAAAGATCTCCCCCGCATAGCATCATAGGCTGTAGGGGAAAGTGCTGTTCGCGAGCACCTATGGAGGCCGACGGCACCACATCCGGCCGCCTTTGTCTCCCCAGTGGCGATGTTTATTCACCGCACCAGGTGCTCATTTGAGGTCGAGTCGACTTAAGGGAATGCCAGGATCGGTTCAGATAATTGTCGCTGGTGTTGGCCATCAGCGGCAATCAAACTCGGGTAGCCGAGTTCGTTGTGCAGCGCGCCAACCGCTACACTACCGCTTCCCCATATACACAGAGCCACACCACACACACACAAAGCCATACCAGCGCACACACACAGTCATACCAGCACACACACACATACGGAGCAATACCAGCACATACATATATATCGTAGAGAGTAATACTAGCAACAACAACCGCCATTCGCCACTAAGTGGCGGTGACGTCACCGCGATGCTTGTGCCAGGCTATGTGCACGTTGAGGCCACGTGAAGTGTCAAACGCCCGCTGGCAGGAGGTCACGGGGCAGACCCAGGTGCCACGGGTCGACTGAGATGGCTACTGGCTGATGCACCACCTGTGCCCCCTACTGTGCCAACTTGCTGTGCTTTAGCCACCCGGCGCTCCGCTCGTTGTGAGCGTCGCTCCTCCCCCCTCCGTTCTTGTTGGAGGGCGACTGCCTCCAACTGCCCAGTAGCATCCTTCACGAGCCTCCTCCACAGAGGCCGATCTTGACACTGCTAGTACCAGTCATCGGCAGGTCCACTCAGCTCCACGTCCTCCTGTACCACATCACTCCATCTCTTCTCTAGCCCGTGCCGCGCTCGTTTAGCCCCCTCGATACGGCCAAACAAAAGCTGTTTAGGCATGCGGTGGCTGGGCATGTGGACTACATGACAGCCAATGCAGCCTTGCCTGCCGGAGGAGCTCACCGATCGGACTTTGTCCAGATCTTTCAAGGATATGTGAGATCCTCACACAATCCAGCCTGGTTAAACCCTGGATGGATCGTAGGCAGGATAGCCTAAATGTTTCTAACCGGCCAAGATGTTCCATTAGGGGGGTGGTACTTATTTTATTGATTCCTCCGGAATCAATAAAATAAGTACCACTTTGTGAGAAACCAATAATTTGGCATGCCATCATCAAAATCAGCGGCATCTCTCCGGAGTCAATGCAGTGATTACTACCTGGGTAAGCTGCATCACTTGGTACAGAAAAGACTTATGGTGTTTGTCCCATGCAGAGAAACTGCTCCCTGTCATAAGCGTGTGGCATTTCTACCACCGGCTCTGGGCCACCGATCAAGATAACCAGAGCCCCGTGATTCTTTGAGCAGGCAGATAGGTTTAGTTTGACTTTGGCTATGCATATTTAAATAATTTACATTTCCAGGACGTCCCTTGGTCATGGAAATATAGGTGAGAAGCACCCAGTAATAGAAGCCATCTTCTAGAAAGGAGGGAGGCAGGGAGGCAGGCTGGGAGACACGGAGGGAGGGTGGCACGGCAGGAGGGTGGCAGGGAGGGAGAGAGGCAGGGAGGGGGTTAAGGGAGGGTGGCAGGGAGGGTGGCAGGGAGGGAGAGAGGCAGGGAGGGGGGGAGGGTGGCAGGGAGAAGGGGAGGCAGGGAGGGAGTGTGTCATGTGGGTGTTGGGGCAAGTGGGGTTGAGGTGAGGGTGGCACCTGAACAGAGGGCGAGTGAACTTCATGCGGCCCTGCTCGGTTGCCATCCGCAGTGCCAGCGGGATGGCCTCCTCCCAGCGCGCGCGCAGGCCCAGGCGGAGCCACCTGCGCCAGCCCCACGCCTCACATTAGCACGGCTGGATATGGACGCGGCGAAAAGTAGTTCAACACACACACATACAGCACGCCGCCCACTCTCACCATCTCAGTGGCCGCGATTAACACAGCTCAAGAGCGGTGCATCCTAATGCCCACTGTAATCACCCAGGAATGTCTGTGCTAAACCCTCGTGACGTCACTCCACATCGAACAGCCCCCCTCATTAATATTCATGAGCAGGTGACGTCCTCCAAATGGACACCCCCCCACTCCTCATTCATAATCATGAGCGGGTGACGTCACTTCACATCCAACAGCCCCCCTTATTAGTAATCATGAACAGGTTACTTCCTCCATATGGACCCCCCCCCTCATTAATAATCATGGGCATTTGACGTCACTCCACATGGAGCACCCTCCCCACTCGTTAATTATCATGAGAAAGTGACGTCACTCCACATCGAACAGCCCCCCTCATTAATAATCATTAACAGGTGACATCCTCCAAATGGACACCCCCCTCCCATTAATAATAATTAGTGTGTGACGTCACTCCACACGGGGGGGGGGGGGGGGGGCGAGGCGCCTCCTCCCCCCTCCTCGGCGTCAACTCACAACCCTCACTACAGAGGCAGAACCCTCACGTCACGTGATCTCCGTAATGCTGTTGTTGAGACATCGAAGTAAAAAGGACGTCACGATGAACAAGGGATTATAACCTTAAAATAAAATAGGTCTGCGTCACCGCCCCTTACAAATTGCACGCGAATTCATGCAATGAATATCACGTGGCGATCTGTTTTTCGCTCGCAGATTTACTGCAATACACCCGTCCTTGGACGGGCAAAAGTCGAGTAGTACTTAATGGTGGTGATAACGATGACGCTGATAATGATGATAACAAGAAGAGATGTCATGTTTATACATACTCTGGCAGCCAAGTATAGAATGCTATACCATAGTGGTCTACATTCAGTACGTATCCACGAATCCATCCTGTGGCCCGCCGGATTCAATGTTGTGCAAGTCAGGTGTGCTGTAGTGGATGCATGCTATTCAAGCCAGGTGGACTGAAAGTGCATTTGTTCAAACTATCATATGGAAATAAACAACGTGGATTTCATGATAGAATTGGGTGTCCCGTAGAAATCCGAAGCACTTCATAACCAAATCACGTCGGTCACACGAGCCGTCGCGGTGTGGCGCAAAGCTGTTTTGATGTGCCCCCACTCCGCACCCCCCCCGCTGTTGCGTTTAAGCGGTCGTGCTTTTTCAGAGGTGGCCACGTGGTGGCCCCGGGCACTAAGGTCGTTGTGTCAGAGCACCGAACCGGCACCGCTTAGATCAGGGGTCGGCAAACCGAAATAACAAGAGGCATTTTTTTGTTCGAATTCGGTAGAGAAAAACAACTCGGTATTTCGAGCGCCGCAGCGCACGTGATGATTACGAAACGGTGGGTCCTTCATGAACGACGCCGCGAAGAGATCCGGAGCCACATGTTGCTTAGATCCTGCCTTTGAATCTGAGACAACTTAGTCTGATTAAACCGCACCCGAGCTTGCGGATTCGTGAACAGTGGGCACCACCACCAGCACCACCACCCACATCCCCTTGAGCCACTCAGGCCCGTCTATTTGTTGTCTCGATGTGCTTGTGCACTCGTTTTAATTGGCCGACTTAAGTGTGCAGCGGGCCGTGAGATTTTCATGATCAGCAAAGCACATTTGTTGGGAGAGAGAAACTTGCTTTTTTATTTTTTGCAATGGCAATAAAAATAGCATATTGCCTGTAATGACACTTCGAACCCAAAGGCTGAAATTCAGCCAACTGTGCAGTTTGGAGCAGCGAGGCCATTGAGGCTCCATCATGTTTACTGCCTCTGTAACAACGAGCGCTTTGGGGCACCGCCACACATAAAACACACACGGGATTGTGTGCTACACAGCTTTTAATTAAAACTCAGTTTGCCAAGCTTGCTTGATGCTTGCTTGATGTGCTATGAAGAAGGGCTATTGCCTGAAACGTCACCAATGACCTTTTCTGGCAAAAAATACGTATGTTTAAAACACCAAACAGATATCTATTACACGGCATCATTACATACTATTAAATACTTGTGGTAAAAAGTGCAAAAGAATAATGTTTTGATGTGAGCATTGTGTAGTTCGCCTTTTGGCGTTCTCTGGTCTATAGCACCGGTGAGACAAGGCCACAAAGGAGGCTGTTCTGGTGCTATGGTGTAGGACAACCAATTTCAAAGCATGTTTGTTCATAAATTTTACCACAAGCACGTGGCAGACTGAATGCATTGTAATAGGTCTCTATTTGGTGTATTGACATCGTAACGCCTGCTGCGTTCTTGCCAGAAAGGATTCATCCTTTTCTTTTTATCATTTTAATACTGTCAAAAAAGGTCCCGAAGTTACAATGGAGATAAAGTAGGCCAAAATTAAAAGCATTAAGGCAGGCTGCTCAAAAACAAGTCATTAAAACCGAGACTTTTGCGACACACGCTTGCGCGTTTGCGCGTCTGTGTGCTGCATTAATGAGGGCACAGTTGTTTTTCCCTCCCGTGGGTCGGCCGCGTATAAGATTACGCCGAGGAAGATGTTGCGAATTAATGCGGCCATTCAGAGAAACTCGATCGGCGCAGGACCACCGCGCTTCACGTTCCATTTTCACTGCGCAGCGGCAGTGCCCACAACACAAATGATAAAAACCGACAATGACACTGGAAGCTGACGTTGGGACGTCGAGGACGGGCGATGAAGAAGGAAGTGAAATTTACAAACGCGCCTAACGTGACGTTGAGAGGCGCTTATTCACGGTGTCGGCAAGAGACTTTGTAAGGTCAAACATTCAGACTCTTCAGATTCTGGCACCTAAAACCAAACGGGCTCGCTCGCACGGCACGGAGGGACGAGACTTCTGATCCTCGTGAATCCTGCGTCCAGCATCGATTTGGACACCGCGTTTTACACCGCTGGGTGAAAGCCCCCCGTGGCTACGGGGCGATACGCACCTGAATCTGATCTCCGAGTTCTTGACGGAGTTCAGCTTGTACACCTCCTCCATTCGCTGCAAGCTCTTAACGGGCAGCGCGGGCTGGGGAAGAGGACGGAGGTGGAGGTTGCAGGTCAAGGGGAGGGATGCTCACGATGAAATCAAGCGTTGCCGTTTGCCCGAGCGCGTCACAGTGCCCTCCCCAAATCCATCAAAACAGCACGCTCAAAAGAAAGTTGCACCCTGCAGGTCTCGCCACAGTTAACCTTGCTGTGGGGGGGGGGGGGGGGGGAGTGCAGGGTTCAGGGTGTGCTGGAAATAGGCAGGATGTAACCGGTGGCATTGGCAGCCCCCCACTGACGTTGTGTCGCCATTCGAGCGGCGTCTTGTTACCGTGTTCAGTGAAAGTTCACCGTGCACAGGTTTAGCTTTAGCGGGAAGCGAAGGAAATATACCCCGACGTCGCACGACATTCACACGCACAGCAAAGGCGCTACCACATTTGAATGACGTGCAACGTGCACTTCTGAAGGATACTGCGAAACTGTGCGAAATGCAAGGATGTAACGATGAGGATAACGAAGACGATGACAGAGGAGATGATAAGAAAGATGTGACAGGTGCATCCATTGTGTTAGCAGCTAAGAATAGAATGCCATACCAGAGATGCCTCTCTCGTAAATATTAACGCACGCGTTGCGCGTGTGGCCAGTACTCAAAGTAGCAAGGTGAACTTCAAAGGCATTTTTCGCAAATCCCGATCAAAAACAAATACGAGCGCTCGACAGTCGAACTGGTGCCGCAACTGAAATCCCGAGTCTCACCAAACAAAGCTCTGACCAAGCACTTCCTGCAACGGTCGGTGAAAATAAACCAAACAACGTGGACTGCCCCGTGCCACGCAACCACGACCAGACGCCAGGCAGCCGACACGTGCAGTGTTGCCGAGCCAGCGAACGCCGGCAAAACATACGATATCCGCGCACACAAGTGTGCTTAATAAACGGTGCACGTTTTAATCTTCTCACATTTCTGCAGGGCTCTCTCTTTTTTTCTCAGACAGAAATCCCGCACCCCGCAGACGCATCTGCACGCGCGTCGCACGTGTGCATTAACATTCCCTCATCCCCGGCGACTGACGCATTTGGCAGAGTGCCCTTCCCGCCGACGTCCTTCCCTGAACTCTCTCCGGTTTCATAGTTTTGCCTTGTGAACTGGGTCAATAGCTGCTCCGTTGTTTCTTTTTGTTTACCCTGCGTCTAGAGTTGAAGAAAAAAAAGCTTTTTTTTACTCCAAGGGCACTTTCCACAGGGTCACTAATAAACAAGAGGTCACTTTTTTTGCGCACGGTCGGGATATTGACTCAGGCAGGCTCGTGTTGTGCCAGGCCGCCACAACTGCAGCAAAAACATGTTTTCAAAGCTCGCCGGCTTGCCGTAAACAATCGGCGCGTGCAAACTCTGAGCAGATACATATTTCCATAAACGAGTTTCCATAAACAAACGGGGCCTGGCTTCACAGTTTCTCGTGTCCCAGTTCCTAGGCACCATCGCTGGCCACAAATCGCGCTGCAAGTGGCCGGCTTGCCGAGCTGATCGTCGGCTTGCTCAACACCGACACAGATCCCCCGTGTAGGCTCAACAGGCTGTTGAGGCAAGCGCTGTTAGCGAGCAAATACAAAGATCCCCCGTGTAGCCTTAACAGGCTGTTGGGGCAAGTGCTGTTAGCGAGAACCTATGAAGGCCGTCAACGTCACACGAAGGGGTGGGTGGCTAGCACCACGCCCGGCCGCCTTTGTCTCCCCAGTGTTGATGATTACACATTGCACCAGGTACTCACGAGCGTGAATCGATCTCGGGGAGAGAATGAGCAGCACAATGCAGCGCTAACTACTGCGCTACAGCTCAAGTGCCGGGATTTTCTTCTGGAACTGAATTGAGCATGTCACTATTCTCACTCGATTATACGGGCGCCGCAGTGGCGAGATGTTATGTCCCTCACCTGGTATGCAGTAGGTCACGGGTTCGATCCCAACCCCAACGCATGTATATTTGGAGTTTACATCTTCTCACCGTGGTCACGGGGAGTTTTCCCCCGGCCGAGGTCTGCCGAATCCACTTAGGAGCGCTCCGATATTGACGGCCTCGTGATATCGTAAACATATCGTTAATCTAAAATGTATCGTTAATCGAAAATGTATCGTTAATCGAAAATGTATCGTTAATCGAAAATGTATCGTTAATCGAAAATGTATCGTTAATAGAAAGAATCAGACCCTATGGGAAGCGGATCGTGAATCAAAATGTCGTCAGTCGATGGCATCGTAAACCGAGGGACCACTCTATATGTTTTTCTTTTAAGGCAGTGCTGTTGATGAGTGTGAGAGTTGTTTGAAGGCCCTGAAACAGTGGTGGAAATTCCACATTGCTGTGTTATTATGTCAAGTCTCCCAATAGCATAGTCATTTAATTTTCCACAAAGCGGCTATGCATGTTGAACCTCTTTCACACCATACGGAGCCAACCATGCTAATCGGAGGCGCAGAGGAAGAAAAACTTTACATATTCCCCGACGGAATTTGTACTTGTAACCGCGCAACTGTGAGCTGATTGCTCTACTCTATTTGCAACTTGCAGAAATCGGTGAAAAAGAGCTTCATAGCTCATTGGATTCCTCCAGGAAAAATACATATTCTGAAATTGTCATAACTAACGATGAATTCACGAGTGTAATGACAATGATTGTGTTTTGCAGTGCACCGTGATGCAAGCGTTACCTGCAGTAAAAGAAGTGCCAGGAATTCTACTTTCTGATTGGAGGAGAAGTCCTTCAAGTCGTCAGCACTGAAAGAGGCCAGATCGGCGTCTTTTGCCTAAAAAGCCAAATGAACACACACACATGCACACGAAAAAGTCAGTGTCCCCGCGTTCAATTGAATAAAGGGCCAATAGATATCCTTCCGTGTTTTTCGGTTGGACGTACACAGAGTTGTACGGATAGTTGCGCGTCCACGTAACGCATATTCAAAGGCTCTCTATTTCGCCAAAGTAACAGCGAAACCAGAAAGATGTTACTCTTTGGTTCTTTCGGTAAAGTCACGTAGGTAAAAAATTTAATAAAATAAAATAAAAATGAACACAACTAAATTAAGCGCAGCAGAATTACTGTGCTTTTTACACCTGATGAAGGAAGCTTGTGTTGCCTCCGAAACATCGTGATTTAATTTAGTTGTTTTCATTTTTGTTTTCTTTTATCACATTTGATGTAATTTATACCTACGTGACTTTACCGAAAGAACCAAAGAGCATGGATCCTTGCAGTCACGAAAACTTAAAATCTAGAACGGAAAGACGTTGTCCGAAATATGGATTGGAGAAACGAGGGCGTGGATGAAATTGGAGAACGCTTTCGGCATCTCGGATTGGCTGATGACGCAGCCACTGCACGACCAACGTGAGAGTGAACTAGCGGTCATGTTAGCTGGACTTAATAAAAAAAAGGCTGCAAGTTGGACTCGATAGCAACTTGGGTAAAACACGCACGGCAAGTTTGCTCACAAAGGCACCTGAATACATTATCATCACATGCGTTAAACAATGCTTTTCGTAAACAGAATTAAATAACTGATGATATGTGCAAACTGAGCCTTGGATAAACACCATTACCAACCACCAACCAGGCAGGCATGCCAAACACAAATACGGATAATTTGTACATGTTTTAATGATTGCTGAATTTCAAGTAAACCTCTGCTTAAGTTTATGAAAAGGCGAGAAAGGTGAATGTGTCGTTACCTGGCTCCAACGTGTCGCCAGCGCAGAGCAATCATCTGCAAGGGTGGTGTCGTATCTGAATAATAAACAAAAAGCAACCTCACTATCATCATCTATCATCTGCGATTCGCAACACAGATCCGGGACAGGTGTATTTATATATTTTTGGCAAATGATGTGTTGATTACATAAAAAAAAGTTTTCAACTACTCTAAGTTTGCCTGCTCAAACAAATGTTGGCGGTGTTCGTCTGGATGGCCGAGCTAAGCTAGGAGTGGAAATTCCACATTCCTAGGACATTTCAATGAGCCCGCAGGGCTGTTGGGTTATCACAATCTTGAACTTTCAGCCTTCCAATGCCGAGTCTAGCGATGTAACAGTGCCAACAAATAACAACAAAGTGTCTGATGGGACACCTCAGTTTACAGCAAAAACCTGGAAGACTAATTGAAGATAGCCCTGCATGTAAAGGTAGTTTAGCTGATATATGAAATAGATTTAGATATTAAAGAAATACAGAGAAGTTTGACACGTAGGCTTTCGCGACCAATATTATTCATGATAAAGGTTTTTGGGTTAGATCGCGTTATTTATAAATGTGTCGTAACCCTCCACCACCCGGCACAGCCAGTAAGGTTCGTCACGTAAACAACGAGCCAGTTAGTTTGATACTTCAACTCACCGGTGTGTTGGGAGAGTAAATCCACAACATACAGAGAAATCCAGTCAGGAAGAAAGTTTTCCTAATACAATATAGCCATGATTCTGTAAGGAATCTGTGAACAATGTGAGATGTATGGCCATCGTGAGAGATTTGTTTGAGAAGGCTGGGTGCGGCTCAAGTTTCCTCCACTCAATGCATTATCACGGTGCGCGAAAAGTGTTCCCGAACAGAAGAACCGTGTTATATCGTAAACACATTATCGCGTTAAGCCAAGGATTATATTGATTCAAGAAGCTCGTCAGCTTTGACCGACTATCATCGTACCAGTTCCCTGTTGCTGGCCACGTTGCACTGTTGGTAGGCCCTCTATCGTGGCACTCAACTCGCACTCAGAAGGTTCAAAATTATATTTCTGGTTGGCATTTGACTCAGCGCATCAACCCTCGTCACCATCCTATGCAGAGATTGGCCTCTGCCATAAGAATGGGGAATTTCCACAATTGAATCTGAGCACCAATGTGGGCGTGTGCTGCCTAACACACTTTTGAGATAAACTATTCTCTTTTTTAAACCTCTTGATTAGCAACTGAGATCCACAGAGCTCAGCACCCACTAAAAACACAAATGAGCTCTTACAGACAGCAGATTCATTAATCCTGAGCAACAAACACCACATATTGCAGCAGCAGAATTTGACCTCAGGACTTCCCGTGGCTCATCCAAAGACGAACTGGGTTCAGTTCTGTTTGCCTGCCAAGGGCTGATGAAATCAGGAGATGGGATGGCCCCACAGCTCTCCACGGGAGATGGTGCAATACACCGGCCTCATGACACCGGCGCGCAGCCGAGCCCCAACCAAGCATCTGACCAGAGGCCCTCGAATTATTTTACGCTGGTCAGGAAAATACTCGCCCGCACTACCGAAGCAAGATTTGCCAACTTTGAAGTGGAATGGGAAAAATAAAATACATAATGTATGTATTTGGCCTTCACACCCGATTGGTTAACAAGTGACGACATCGCATTTATACCCCCTATATTTAAGACCAAAACAGGAGGATTTCTCCACCACCCTGGCTGGCGCCTGACGATGCTGCTTGTAATTCCCGTAGAAACGAACACGGCACTAAAATTGTAAACGTTGTGGGCTTACTCTCCAACACACTAGGTGTGCTGTACTTGTACTAGTAACGAATTGGCACGTTTTGTTTACGTGACAAACCTTACTAATTGGCTGTGCCGGGTGGTGGCGGGTTTAACGACACATTTCTATTTACGCTATCTAACCCCCAAAAAAACTCTATTATGGATAATATTGGTCGCGACAGTCCTACTACGTGTAAAACGGGAACAATAAAATTCGAAAGCCTTTTGATTGAAATATGAAGATGAGGCCCAAATGGAATGTCGTGGGTGATGTACAGTATGCCACCAAGCGGAAAGTAGAAAAAACGCATTTCTGCACAGTCATCTCGGGTAAACATGTGACTTTAATCTGCACCGATAAGAAAAAAGGTCAACGCATTTTTCCCTCTTATCAGTTGCTAAATATTTCATTATTTACTTATTCGTTTGGGCTGGGCTCAAATGTATCGATTTTTTTTCGGCCATCCTTTATTAAAGCAGAAGGGAGGACACCCAGGAGGATGATGATGATGATGATTTCTATTGCATGACAGAGCTGGATTAAGCCACGGCGCAGTAGAACCACAAAGCCCTCTTGTGTGTGGGTTGTGCCGCATATTGTTCAGTATTGTGCCCTCCATATAGTTCCTCAAGAAGCTCCAGGTACGCGCAGCGAAACGTCGGACATCGTGCCGAACAACACACGGCCCGACCGCTGAAAACCTACTCACTGTCGTCTACGTTATTGGCACTCGGACAGGCACACTGGCCATTAGAAATGTCGGACCATCGTGCCGAACAACAAAGGGCATGACCGCTGGAATCCGACCCATTATTATCTACGTTACTGGCATTCGGACAGGCACGCTCGTCATTTGAAACGTCGGACATCGTGCCGAACAACACACGGCCCGACCGCTGAAAACCTACTCACTGTCGTCTACGTTACTGGCACTTGGACAGGCAGACTGGCCGTTAGAAACGTCAGACCATCGTGCCGAACAACACAGGGCATGACCGCTGGACACCCGTGATCATGTTGCCAAGCTAAAATCCCGATCGGGAGCCAACTCGGCACCCACCATCTCTCTTGCTGATGCTAAAACACGAGGAGTAGTTTAACACGTAGTAGGCTTGCGTGACCAATATCATACATTATATATATATTTTTTTGGGTTAGATAGCGGGCACAGCCAATGAGTTAGGTATGTCACGTAAACAGAACGTGCCAATTCGTTACTAGTACAGCACGGTGTCAATAAAGTTACACAGATCTGGTCACACACACGCACACTAAAACCAGATCATAAGGCGCAAGCCCCCCCCCCCCAACTCCTGCTTTAAATTGCAGTGGGAAAAGATGTGCCTTGCAACCCGGTGAATATAGCAATTGCTTCACACATTTAAACTCTGGATATGTGGTATTTAAATAGAACGCCATTACCTGCTCTTAGGAATTACGTCACCTGCTCTTTGGTGTCTACTTGAAGAGATTGGGAACTTTGGAAATTCTCTCCGGAGATTGTTTTGAACCCTTTGTGGGGGGCGGAGCGGGGCGTGGCGGGGCCGAACGGGGTTAGAGAAAAAAAAGCGGCCCTGCCTTTTAAATCACGATCAGAGTGTCAGAAGACAGGGGTGGAGCCTAGAGAAACAGGGGCGTGGTCTAAATAGGAGGGGGCGGGGTTTGAAGAAGATGGCACGGGGCCTCAAGAGAAAGGGGGCAGAGCCTTATTTATTTATTTTACCAGGTAAGGCCCACTGGGCTTTGTGGCTCTTTTTCATAAGTGACCTGGCCACCACAAATGATAGCTCAACGGAAGTGGCTTATCGGGTGGAAATGTACAGCAGCCAAATACTCGACACGCGTGTTTCTAAATGTGGAGAAAAAACCGGAGGGCTCGGAGAAAAATTTACGCGGCCACGGGGAGAACACGCGGACTCCGAATATACAGCAGCAGGCGTCAGGGTCGGGTACGAACCCACGACCTCCTGCGTACCAGGCGAAGGTAGTAAACATCTTACCACCGCTGCGCCCAAATAAAACCTTGAACACAATTCCAACTTTAAACTTAACATTAGCCCTCAAGAGCTCATGGCTAAACCTTTCGACGTTGGACATGGGCCAAACCAAAGCGAGTGTGCGAGCATCAAAAGCTCAGAACCTCACAGCAAGTTTAAACTCGGGCGGCATTGATCCACTTCTTCACATTGCGACTGCGTTGCTATAGCCACGGAAAGGCCGGCAATCTCCTCGAGGCAAATGTCTTTGCTCGTCCGCAGCAATTATGGCAGCACCGAGAAGGAAAAAAACTAAAAACGTTGGGCGTGTTTTAGCGAAGACATTTCAACACCGTACGTCCAACTTGAATTGTGTTGACATCGGTGACTATGGACATCTTTCACTGTCATGGGAATGATGATTTTGTTTTTCTTGCGCTGATTTCAGTCGTAGAAATGGAAGGAAATTCGTTCAAATGCGTAGCCAGAGTTATCAGTAATCATCATCATCGTCGACATCATGATCCAATCGGGGTCCCTAAAACGAGTGAATGCCACCTGGTGAGGTTGCATCACTTGGTAGAGAGTCAACAGTGATCTTTCATTCGAATAGACTGGCCTCTACCATGTGAATGTGGAAAATACACCACTGGCTGGGAGCACAACTGGAAATGTCAGCATGGAGACACTGTTTATAAATTTATATTCATCATCGCCAGCCATCGTGTATCCGTTGCTAGAATGAAGGTTCCTCCATGTCATCTCTCTCTCACGGTCCGGCAATGACAATCCACCTCCCTTCCTGCTCCATCTCCACGATGGCCATCTCCTGGACACATTCCCTCCGTTGGCTGTCATTCAACCACGAGTGTTGTCAAAATGGCCATGATCCATTCAAGCGATGTGGACTGCCAACACCCACGTACTTTTCTAAACAGTCATTAAGATGGACTCGTCCATCTGAATAATTGCCAAATCGCTCTCCGTGGTGCTAACATTAAAAAAAAAACGCCATTTTTTTCAAATTTTCTTGCTGTGGTTTTCACGCCTGATGATGATTGCTTGTGTTGCAGTCGAAACGTCGTGAGAATTTTATTGTTTTATATTTTTATTATTTTATTGTTTCCATTCTACGTGACTTTACCGAAAGAACCAAGAATATGAATCCCTGCAGTCACGAAAGCTTTAAATCAAAATTTAAAGTCATTAAGAAGTTATTTTTTCTTAATCCAGCTGCTCCTCTTCAAATGACTCAGTCTAACAATAATTGGGTCCCACTCATTACCCACAAAGTGCTTGCCAGAAATAAACCACAATACCTTGCTGATCTCGTCAGGGAGCATGAATCATTGCGTGAACTCCGGTCATCCTGGAAGCGGCTTTTTGCGAGCCATTGAACAAAGACGGTGGTCACCGCATCGCGCGCTTTCAGGTGCGCTTCCGCGGCCATCTGGAACACTCTTCCTTCCGATATTGGGAAGCCACTGGAACTGTGCACTCTTAAATCATCATCTAGATTAAAAGCTAATTTCTTTAGAACTGCTTTTTGTGCCTAGTTTGTTGTCCTTCCCTGACACCTCCGATTAGCGCGGTGGGCTACGTACGGTGTGAAAGAAGTTCAACACATACGTACATACAATTAAAGGCAACATATTAGCATGTATTAGGATGCCGCGGTGGCAAGATGTTAACTACCTCGCCTGGTGTACAGGAGGTCGACGGTTCCATCCCGACCCTGATGCCTGTATATTAGGAGTTTGTATGTTCTACCCATGGTCGCATGGATTTTTCTCCGGGTCCTCCGATTTATTCCTCCACATTTAGAATCAACATGTGTTCTGAGTATTTGGCTGCTATAAATTTCCACGTGATAAGCCACTTCGTTGGGCTATCATTTGTGGCCAGGTCGCATCTGAAAAAGAGCTATGCTACGAACCAAATGGCACATTGTTGTTGTTGTAGTTTAATGTTCTCAAGCGGGACGGGGGGGCGGCAGTGTAAGCTCTCAAGGGTTTGGCTATGGGGACCGGTGACGCGTGGCGATGACACGCAGGAATTCCGCGCGGGCTTCACTCTCGGCGGCCTCCGTGGCGGGGGGCATCTCGGACGTGGGCGACGAACCCGCACGTCTGCCTCGAGAGAGAGCCCGGAGGCAGCTGTGGCCGCTGCGAGCAACAGGCGCCCAAGAAAGTCGTCTGAGCTCTGCGCGAATTCGCTCGCCGAAGTGAAGAGTTTTTTAATCCGCGCGCGGGCCTGCGCTGCACGAGCACGCTGCCACGCGGGGATGACGTAAAGTCACCGAGGTTGCCATGAGAGGTAAGGGTGCACGGCTCTGCAATTGACTTGCTCATGCAACTGCAGGCAGAAGGGCCTCTCCGCTTGAGGAAGCCCTAGAGAGCCCCCATAGAGGGCATTTGGCCTACTCTTCCACGCCGCTCAGGCATCTTGGAAGGTGCGAGGAGAGTAGCCACACTTTATCCCACTGCACACGACCTGCCGACAAACCGCGGTTGACTCATTTAGACTGTTGGATGGACAGAGGAGAGTGGATTTCGGAAACCTCGCTCTTTGTTTCCACGGCTGCACTGGGAGATCAAACTGGCAAGCTCTGAGTTGGCCAGGTGTATGTACGTTGAACTTCTTTCGCACCATACGCAGCCAACCGTGCTCATCGGCGGTGCGGGGGAAGAACATTACACAACAGCTTCATCCCTGATGTTCTAGGAGCAACGCCATAAGTTTGTGAGCAGGTTTATTGGATGTCCGTCTCACATCCAACATCCCAAATGTTAAAGTAACATCATAAGTAATACAAAACACCATAGTGGTTTATGCTGAGTTGCATGGGTCTGAAGACGCTGATCTCATCAAGGAACATAAAGCATCACGTGAACTCCGGTCATCATCACAGCGATTTTGGCGAACCATCGTCACTACTTTGCACGCTTTCAGATGCGATTCTGCGGCCGTCTGGAATGTTCTTCCATCCGATATTAGGAAGCCACTAGAACTGCTTTTTGTGTTTAGTTAGTTGTCCTTCCCCGGGATCTCAGCAGCAGTGACTTAGTGTTCCAACTCATTATCACAGCCACCTTAGGACAGCCATAAGCGCTTTGACAAACGTACTGGAGTTTCACAGGCGGCATTCCTGGAGAATAAATCCATGCCTTCCAATCCACAGCTTGGAGAACATCGGCCTGGGGACAGGGAGGAGACAAACACCAATGTTTATGACGCACAAAAAAGCAATTAATCTAAATCTGCCACACACAAGAGGGCTTCAGCCCTAAAGAGCTCCTCTTTTAAACAACTGAATTTCAGACGACCACAATACACATCAGGGTGGCACTCTGGTTAGAGCTCTTCACTCACGATCTGATCGGAAGGTTGCGACTTCAAATCCCGGTTGATAAATTGTGTGCTGGTTTGGGGGAAGTCAGCAACGACTGCCCTTTGAAGAAATAGTCCGTGTCATGAAAACGTGGGCGTTTTCACCACGAGATCCAGTTTCTTCATGCATTTAAACAACTCAAAGCAACAAATAACTTCCCACTCCCAAGAGGACCCTCCAAAAACTGCTTTGAGACTGAGTGACACTTTCAAGCATGAAGTTATTATTTTTGTTTAATATTAGCCCTTCCACTATTCAGTGAATTGTCAAACAAAATCCAGGGCCATGATTCGATTTAAGAATTAATCATGTTAATGCTGGTGTTCAAAGGATCTGTATTGGCTGCAGGGTTACTAGGAATCTTTACGGCTTCCATGAACCATTCACACGCAGAATGATGTTGATAGCATTTAATTACCAGACACAACATTCACTCATAAGAGCTTTTTTGGGGTTAGAAAGCTTAAATATAAATGCGTCATTAAACCCGCCACCACCTGACACAGCCAATCAGTAAGGTTTGTCACGTAAACAGAACATGCCCATTAGTTACTATTGCAGCATGCCGGTGTGCTGGAGTCAACACACAACGTTGACAATTCGAGTACCGTGATGTTTTGCTGGTAATTACAACCAGCATCATCAGGAGACAGCCAGTTCATTGCATAAAACGCAAGCGTGAGTGATGCATTTTTATCAGCGGAAATGTCACTCGCGTAGTGATCATCATCGCACCAAAGTTGACGGAGGGCAAAGCAGCCGAGCCTCGCCGACTGTTGAAAGACCCCGACCAGTCGACTGCCTACCTTGTCTTTGAAGTACTCGAAGAGGTACGCCTTCCACTCCTCCGTTGTGGCAGTGCTGTAGGCAAACTTTTCAATGTAAGCCTTCACAAAGCCAATGAAGACATCTGGAGAAGAAAATAAGACACAACACAGAAGATCCACAATTAATATTTAGGGGCAAATGTCCTTTGCGATTCAAATATATCTATTCAAATTAGATGTATGGAGACATATGGTATGTTGCTATTTTTTGTTATATATAAAAAATATTCTCCACAATGACGCCCTTGATGGTCTTGTGCATGGGCGGTGCTTGCGGCGAGGGGGGGGGGCACGGGGGGCAATGCCTAAAAAAACAAACCGGAAAATTATCAAGGAAGTCACAAAGAACAACCCCAGAGAAACACCCAAGCATCTGCAGGCTACTCTCTCCTTGGCTAATGTGAGTCTTTATGACTCACCTATCAGAAAAATACTAAACAAGAATGGTGTTTATGTAAGGATAGTGAGGAGAAAACCACTGCTCTCTAAAAAGAACATTGGTTGCCCATCTAAAGTTCGCCAAAGAGCACCATCGATGATCCACAAGACTTCTGGAACAATGTTCTCTAAACAGACAAGTCAAAAGTAGCACTTTTTGTCTTCAATTAGAAACGTTATGTTTGGCGAAAACCAAACGCTGCTTTCGAACAGAAGAACCTCATCCCAACTGTCAAGCGTGGTGGTGGGAATGTGATGGTTTGGGGATGCTTTGCTGTCTCAGGACCTGGGACAGCTTGCCATCATTGACACAACTATGAATTCTGCATTGTGTAGCGAGTCCACCAGCCAAAGGCAGGGGGGCCACGCTGTACTTTATTTTCCACGAGCTCACACCACAAATGTCCACCTCAGATTCCCATTGAGAAGCGCCCAGATCACGCCACCTCCCTCGGTGACATCACCCCTATCTCTCTCTCTCTCACCCCGTCTTCTCTCTCCTGTCCCTCGTGATGTCATCCTCCCACCGGAACCTCGGATCGCGTAAATATTGATACCCTCGGATCACGTAACTATTCGTGCTACAACTGTATCAGAAGATTCTAGAAAATAATCTCAAGGCCATCCATCCGTGAGCCGAAGCTGAACCGAAAGTGAGTCTTGCAGCAGGACAATGATCGTAAACATACAAGCAGATTGACAAAAGAATGGCTGCAGAAGAAGAAATTAAGCAGTTTACAATGGCCTAGTCAAAGTCCGGACATAAACCCTATGGAAATGTTGTGGCAGCACCTGAAGCGAGCTGTCCATGCAAGGCAACCCTCAAATGTCACAGAGTTGAAGGAGTTCCGTCAGGAGGCTGTCAGGAGGAAAGGCCCAAAATTTCTCAAATCCGATGTGAGAGACTGGCGAATGGTTACAGGAAGCGCTGAGTTGCAGTTATTGCTGCTCAAGGGGGTGTCACCATTTACTGAATCTAAAGGATCACAAACTTTTTCACACATGGTTATTGAATGAAGACTCATTAGAGGGTGAATAAATGTTGAAAGAGTATCATGTTTTCGTTTAAATTGTTTATTCAGATTATCTTTAACAATTGTTGTGCTTAAATTACGCTCTAATAACATTTTAGGTTTGAAATATGTAAAATATGTGAAAATCCTAAGGGGTTCACAAACTTTTTTTTATCAACACTGTACATACAACCAGGTGACAGCCCATCGAAATGAAGTTTTATCAGCTCAGACGAAAGTGCAAGTGTCTCCATGCTCAAAAAAAGTGGCAATGCTTATCTCAGTTGGTGGCCCTTAGTCTCAGTGGTGTAAATTCCCCATTCCTATGTCGGGGCCAGTATATCCACGGGACATCCACTACTGGCTTCCCACAAAATAGCACTAATTTTACTGACCCTTCAAGGATTATTGGCTGAGTCAGACTTAGCCAGAATTTGAACTTAACCTTCCAATTGGGAGTTGAGTGTTCTTACCAGAGCGTTGTCCGGCTGGATAAGTTTAATGAAAACCAAAACTACATAGGAGCACAATAATTGTTACTGTAAACTTTCAATAGCTGATTATTTTTACGGTAACATTTTAAACAAATATCCCTAATTGCTGCGATCAACTCCGATTATTCGAATTTGTTTTTTTTTTACGTAGCCGGGACTGAGATCGTAAAACTGAATTTCTTTCACCATTAAAGTTAACACTGTGACGTTATAATTACGTGTTGCATTACCGAGAAACCATTCCAAACCTCCGAATCATGATAATAACATTTGTTTAAGCTGCAAAAACCTCAATGAATCTCAGAAACGTCCTACATTGCCTAGTTTGGTGAATTCCTTTTAAATGAATAGTGTTAATTTGGGGAGAGAGCCAAAGTAGTAAGGGCAAAGCCCTCTAAACATTTTCACAGATTGGGGTCATCACCCTACTTGGCGTACTGCCAACTCCTGAGTACCTCGTAGACCAGCAGTTTGGGAGTTTCAAGGCACGGAAAATTATGTACGTGTTCCGCAAACCCTGCGTCTGACGCAGCGCAGTGCAGTACACGTCGCATATATCCGACCGTCACATATCCGCCCCGACCAATTATAGCCACCCTCACCCAGTTCCTGGAAAAACAAAGGCACCTGCCATGTCCCCAATGGCTACACGGAGAGAGGGACAGCCTGAGGCAGGCCCAGCACTGCCACAGCTGCAACTCAAATATCCACTGACACAGACATTCATTAAGAACTCATTTTAGAATATAGAAGCACTCATTTGGAAGACATTGCTCATTCCCCTGTTTTTTTTTGTCATATATCCTCAATGGTTTTTTTTCCGGAGTCGACTTATTCTCTCAATGCAAACCACGCAGCAAAGAACGGACCTGTATTATTATTTGTATCACTTAATTCTAAGCATTTCCGCACGTTTAAGGGAATTTGCATGCTTACGTTGTCCAAGTAACCTGTTTGTGCTCGGTGTAAATGCCCTTCTCAACAGATGTTCACAAATCCGACCGTTTCACAACATCCGCCTCTACCTCAGTCCCCGGGGGGTTGGATACGCGACATTGTGCTTTGGCAACTGTGAACTCGCATTACCATCTTAAACTATTTTTTATTTTACCAGGTAAAGCCCACTGAGCTGTTTAGCTCTTTTATCAGAGGTAACTTGGCCACAAATGATAGCTCAACAAAGTGGCTTATCACGTGGACATTTATAGCAACCAAAAACTCTAAACTCATGTTTGTTTCTAAACGTGGAGGAAAAAAAACAGAGGACCTGGAGAAAAATCCACGCGACCACGGGAAGATCACGCAAACTCCAAATAAACAGGCGTCAGGGTTTGGGATCGAACCCAAGACATCCTGTATACCAGGCAGGAGAGTTAACATCTCGCCAGCATGCCGCTATGTCGTTGCTGCTGCTGTTGTTGTGATCGGGATCCCACTATCGGAACTGCTTGCATCCATGGGGCCGACGGCCACGGCAGCCCGCCGCACGCCTGTGGTCTTGTTATTCGTACGGCGATTGGCGTATCAGTCACGCGACAAACAAAACGGGACGCAAACACTCATAGGGCCCAGAATAGAGCATCCTTTCAAAGTGCATTCGTGCTAAATACTCCCCAGGCACGGGCACTTGGGCACAAATGAGACATGGCATAATGGCATTGCTTAGCAGTGGGATGTTGTCACACTGGACGGATGACTGCGATTCCTCCTCTACAGCACAGGGACACAGAGAGGGGAGGGGGGGGGGTCACTTCAAGCATTCGCTGCAGTCTGTGGTACAGAGGGACTTATAGAGCCGAGTGGATTGGCCCCCGGCTAGTACGGACCAGGTTCACAGCAACAATCGCCGTTGTGGTGGGGCAGGCTCGTGAACGACGCTGCTGAACAGCTGTCCTCCCCCCTCCCCCATCCTTGACAACGCAACCCAGAGGAGCGATGCTCACAACAACGAGCGGAGTGACAGGCGGCTAAAACACAGAGCTAGGGGCGTAACGATTTGCTCCTTCTGGACAGTCGATGAACGGTATCGATTCAGCGTTGCGAGAGTTCAAGAACAAATCGTGCCTGTTTAACAATGCGGAGAATGCAGCGGCCTCCTGTAGCCTATTGCAAAGAATGCATACAAAACGAAAAAACAATGATCCTTACGCAAGCAATGTAATACGTGTGCTGCGAGTAAAAAAAAAATCAACATCATTCAAGGCAATTTTGCACACACATAGCCTGCAGAGTAGAGCACACAGGTGGTGTATCTGCTAGTCACCTTGACACATTAAGCCATAACATCTGGGTCTATCAATTGGCAAGCAAGTCTCTACCCCTTACCGTAGCCTCAAAGTGCACCCAGCCTGGTACAAGCACCGAAGTGGCGGTGTTGTACCATGTTTATATACCTGCATGATCTACGAACACTGTCCCAGCGTTGTGATGATTGCGGGAGAGCAATGCTATCCCATCCCACAAAGTGTATTGGAATATTTAGAATTGTTTCCCAAATTTTATCTCAATTGTGCTTTTGATGCCATATGATGAGACGAAGAATCCATTATCATCCGGTTCTCAGAGCAGTGCAACCCTTTGCGTGAGAGACAGACCCAGAGAAGTGGATATCACAGAGCTACCACCGAGATCCCTTAAAGTGACCTCGAATCCGCAAAGTACAGGGGGGGTGGGGGAAGCAGTCTCCCACCCACTCTGCCCATTGGAGGAAGGTTCGTCAAGTGGCAGCTCAATCAACATTTACATTTTCCGAGCGGGAATTATCGCCAAATAAAGTTAGCCACCGAATTTAACGTGATCGTCTCTTTGTGCACTCATCGGTGTCCGGACTGAGGCCACCAACCCCCGACACTTGAGTACCGAGTTTAAACCACCGCTTTCCAACCAAGGTATCACCAGCAACCCGGATTTGAAGGCAGGATCCCAGCGGTGCGAGCTCAGCACTCGGACCGCTGAGCCACCTGGCCTCCACTATTGCATTGGGTTTTAAACGCTGGGGGAACAAAGGTGAGTCTGGTGAGTGGGTGGCGAGTCTGATGAGCGAGTGGCGAGTCTGATGAGCGGGTGGCGAGTCTGATGAGAGGGTGGCGAGTCTGATGAGCGGGTGGCGAGTCTGATGAGCGGGTGGCGAGTCTGATGAGCGGGTGGCGAGTCTGATGAGCGGGTGGCGAGTCTGATGAGCGGGTGGCGAGTCTGATGAGCGGGTGGCGAGCCTGATGAGCGGGTGGCGAGTCTGATGAGCTGATGGTGAGCATGGTCAGTGTGCGGTGAGCACGGCGAGCGATTGGCGGCGAGTCCGGCGAGCGGGCGGCGAGTCTGGCGAGCTGTTCGCGAGTCCGGTGAGCAAGCGGTGAGCACGGTGACGAGCGTGGTACCGGGCCCGCCGAGCGCCTGCTCCAGGTGGTAGAGCAGAGCGAAGCCCTTCTCGTAGGGCACGGTGGAGAAGGAGTCGTCCGGGTCGACGCCGTCCAGCACCGGCACGAGCTTGGTGAAGCCGTGCTCCGGCCCAAACGTGTCCACCTACGCACCCGGCATGGGCACATGGCTGTGTTGGAATCGTGTGGCGTTGTGGAGCCAGTTCAGCTGCACGCTGGGCTCAGTAGGATTGGCTCTGCCTTGTGCAAAGCCTCCAAATTATTGGGGGTTTTTTTTTTTCAAAGCAGTTGCTGAAAACAAGGCCCGAAGGCCCGAAACGTCAAATGGCCAGCAGTGCGAGGGGAGACGCAGCAAGAGAAGTGATGTGGCCTGCAGTGTGGTGGGTGGGTGAGTGAGTGAGTGCGTGGGTGCATGAGTGAGTGTGTTGCTGTGACTTGCAGTGTGGTGGGTGAGTGAGTGAGTGCGTGGGTGCATGAGTGAGTGTGTTGCTGTGACCTGCAGTGTGGTGGGTGAGAAGGTGGATGAGTGACTGAGTGGGTGGGTGAGTGAGTGTGGTGCTGTGACTTGCAGTGTGGTGAGTGAGTGGGTGAGAAGGTGGATGAGTGACTGAGTGGGTGAGTGAGTGTGGTGCTGTGACTTGCAGTGTGGTGGGTGAGTGGGTGAGAAGGTGGATGAGTGACTGAGTGGGTGAGTGAGTGTGGTGCTGTGACTTGCAGTGTGGTGGGTGAGTAGGTGAGAAGGTGGATGAGTGAGTGAGTGGGTGAGTGAGTGTGGTGCTGTGACTTGCAGTGTGGTGGGTGAGTGGGTGAGAAGGTGGATGAGTGACTGAGTGGGTGAGTGAGTGTGGTGCTGTAACCTGCAGTGTGGTGGTTGAACACCGTGTGGATGAGACAGTCAATCCTCAACACGGGTGGTGGATTCCATGAATCAAGTTAGCAGGAACAGTAAACATGTAATAAATAAGTGAAAAGGAGGCCAGGTACGTGAGCGAGTGACTGGAGTGATAAGTGAGTGCTGAATCGTCCACCACTCTGACTGCTGCTCTACTCTGCATGCTATCTGGTGTGGCGGTGAGGTAGGAACTGGCTGCTCCATCGCAGATATCACAGCAGCAGAATTAAAACTTTTGGCAGCTGTGGATGCTGACGATGGGGACAACAAAGCCGTGAGCGCTCCTCAAACTACGCTGACGGCAGTGGCTAGACCAGGGGGCTTCCTGCAATGCCTGTGCCGAGTAGACAGTAAGAATGCATCTTTTGGTAGCAATAAAACCTTTAAACCCGTGACACGATGAAGGGAATGGGGGGGGTAGAGACAAGGCTGAAATGCATTGGAAAAGGAATGGGAATAGGAAGGGAGGCCGGGACGGAAGTCTCCAAGAGAGACAAAACAGGCACGGCTCAAGATGAGCATCAAGAGGTAAGAAGGAGGAGCGCTGGGCAGGAAAGGGAATAAGGAAAAACAGGGCCAATATTTCGGGGACGAGAGGGTGGTGAGGATGAGAGGGGGAGAGACAAGGAAGGAGTGAGCAGGAGTGGGCGGTGGGGAGAGGAGAGGGGTTCAGAGTGGGGCTGGCCCCACGGAAGTCACGTGACTTGCGGGAGGTTCGAGCTGATTTCGATGTGTAGATGTGAATAATGCAGGGAATTGTGAGAAAACTAACACGATATTGTTTTCGTAGAGTTAGCTTTCACTTCATAAACCACTTTGGAAGAGAATAGATAAGGACATGAGTGTCCATAGATGGGTCTTTGCTATGCCTGTATTACTGCGTGGGAGATGCGAGCTCGCTTTAAACAAAGCAACGAGAAAATAACCTTCTGGCCCTTTGAATGCAGGTGCAAGGATACAACGCACGGGAGAGTACGTCACCAGGCAGCACACGGAGCCATAACCCTGACCCTGACGCCGGGGGTGGGGGAAACGCATACACACCCTGTCTTGCACAAGCGAGATGCTGCATGCATGGCGCTTGTTGAGTTACACAAAGGTCCCCCCCCGTATAGCCTTCAGCAGGCTGTTGGAGCAAGTTCTGTTTGCAAGCAGCTATTAAGGCCGGCACGGCCATCGAAGGGGTGGGAGGCCAACAACCGCCCCCGGCCATCTTTGCGTCCGCAGAGCTGATGATTACTGCACCAGTCGCTCATTTAAGATTAGTGAACCTAGGGGACACCTAGGACGCTTTAAGGTATTTGTGACCCATGTGGGGTCACTGGGTTTGTAGCGCAGCGCGCTGACCACTACGCGACCACTCCCCCTCAGTTATACACACGCACATCGCAAAACACATATGGAATTGCATAAGCATTCAAGCAATAGAAGAATATAAAAATCAGCATGTGCGTATCTTTATGTACATTGCATGAACTCATGTAATCGAGTGATACGCAGATGAACTAATTTATCATTCCATGGTGGATATTTCCATGCTGGGAACACATGTTGGGTGAGAGTGTAAGTGATGGTTGTGGTGGCAATGGGGGTTTGGAAGTGAAAAACTGCATGTAATGGGTTCATGGCGTGGCCAGAGATGTTATTTTAAAACTCACGAACAATTCCAAAACATGAAAATGACCTTTCGTGCTACCCTCGCTGTATCGACAACAAGTGTGTGTGTGTGTGACACTGCTGCCCCATCGTGGCCACACACTCTGCTGGGTTGCGCCGTGGTTAGAGGCAGAGGCTGATCTAGAATCTTCCCGAGGGAGGGGGGGGGAGAGGTTGGGGGAGGCGTCCAAAATTGTATTAGTAAAAAATAAAAAGTTGGGTGTATCTTCTCTGGTAAATATCAATAAAACGCCAATATTCAGGGGGCAATTTCCACCAATTGCCCTCGCCCTGGATGCACCACTGGGTTAGAATGCATCTCGTTAGGCCAAGCATGCCGGATTACATTGATAATGTTAATCGGAGTCTCCAATTGTAACCGAAGCGAATGGATTTCAATTGGTGTCTTGCCTGGTTCATCAAGAGGCAGGGCATAATAACTGGCTCAGATCATGCATGTAGCATTGGGGGGGGGGGGAGACGTGGGGGGGGGGTCCTACCGACTCCTGGAGGGATTTCCAGCCCCCGATGGCGAAGAACTGCCTGGTCTTCTCTCCAAACATCTTGCCGGCGATCATGCGCTCCAAGTAGACCGTGTGTCCTTCGTTGAGCCTGCACAGCGAGAGAGGCAACTACAATGGAGTGGTGCGTGTCTGAAGTGATGAATGGATATCATTTTTCATGTGACAAACAAATGGAAGCGTATGGTGTTTCATTCACTTGCCTTTTTCTTTCGAGGTTAATTTAATTGTACCGGGTAAAAAAAAGGAGCTAATTCTATTCTTTGGGTCTTTCGGTAAAGCCACGTAGATCGAACAAATAATGAAAAATAATAACAATATCACGACGTTTCGATCACAACACAAGCAATCGTCATTAGGTGAAAAAAGTATTGGGGAAGAGCTGCCGGGGCAGGAAAAAATATATAGTGGGAGCGCTGCTAAGGCAGGGAGTTACAAAGGTTTGATGGGTGTGGCCCAAGGGTCAGTGGGCGGGGCCAGAAATTAAATTTGCATGTAAATGTAAGATCGGAGAAATTTTGACAAACGGTCTACTTGGGGGTGGCCATTGTATTGTGAGTGATTAGCATGTCAATGTAAGAGATTAGCATGTCAATGTAAGATATTTGCTTGTAAATATAAGAAATTTGCTTGTCAATGTAAGAAATTTGCTTGTAAATGTAAGCTCGGAGAGAGCTCGGAAAGAGCCATCGCCACATGGAGGTGGAAAAGGATGGCAAGCCGCCATTTACTTATACAGATAACGGTGGCTGTGCTAGTGAATGTAACTTGAAGAGTCGAAAATAACTGCTAACATAGGTAGGTAGGGAGGGAGCATTACAGCCAGTTATAACCTAAACTGGTTAAATAACGTCCTTTCAATGATTGCTCAGTTCGTGCCCACCTTCTCGGTTTAAATTGTGTCTGTGTTTTTATATCTGGATGACTTCAGGAACGAATCTTTGCTGATAGCCAGCAGGCTTGCAGAGTACCGCTTGCATGTAACCTGAGCCAGGGATACAAACCGATGCCCATTTGGTCTCAACACAGCTTCCCTGGTGTCCAATCCAGTCGCCTGCAACACCCCCCCCCGCAAAGAAGTTGCTGATTACCCCCTTCTTAACGTCCACCACTGCTGTTGCGGTGTAGCCGTTGACAACAAGGCACCTGAAATCCACAGGTCTCTGGTTCGATCCACCGGTGTGAAATTTGAAACAACCGGAACGTTATATTCTTGGATGACAGTCATCCTCTCAGCCGATAAGGGCAATGCCACTGTCATCATGGACAAAACCACATACAATAACAAAATTCAGGACCTACTTAATGATGGCAGCTATACCAAAATCAATAGAGATCCTACCAACCGTCTGGTCACGAAAACCAACAACATCATCACTGATTCAATCGAACCAACCAAGCGGCTTTCCTTAAAACCCTCTGCTGCTAGACCACCCAGATTGTATGGCTTACCAAAAATCCATAAAGAAGGTACACCACTCCAACCTATCGTCTCCACCATTAGCTCACCCACCTACAAACTGGCCCAGTTTCTGTCTGAGACCTTGCAAACATTCACTGGTAAGACCACCTCAGCTGTACTTAACTCAGCTCACTTGATATTTTCAATTAAGGACATCTCACTCTCTCCAGGTGATTTGCTTGTCAGTTTCGATGTGGTTTCTTTATTTACCAAAGTTCCTGTGTTGACACCATGGCAATCATTGAAAATTTGGTCCAACAAGGACTGAATGCTGATGTACCGGCCCTGGTTAGACACTGCCTTACCAACACCTGGAATGGAACATTCTACAAATAAGTTGAAGGAAAACCAATGGGTTCTCCCTTATCTCCAGTTGTAGCCAATGTTTTCATGGAGAAATTTGAGACATGCCATCCAGGCATTCACCCTACATCCTTCCTTGTGGAAAAGGTACGTAGATGACACGTTCGTCATCTGGCCACATGGCCTACCAGCTCTGGACCAATTTTTCAACCACATTAATTCCATACACCCAGCCATCAAATTCACCATGGAGGTGGAAAAGGATGGCAAGTTACCATGCTTGGATGTTTTAATCGAAAAGAGACCAGATGGCTCAATGGGGCACTGTCTACAGGAAAGCCACCCATACGGATGTCTACCTAAAACCTGACTCCTACCACCATCCATCCCAGAAGAATTCCCCCATCAAAACTCTACACCATAGAGCTCGATGTATTTCCGACAATCACCATCTAGCCAGTGAACTGGAGCACGTACACCAAGCCCTCAAGAAAAATGGATATTCAGACTACAGAATCTGTAAAGCTATCACCCCAACCTTTGGGAAGGATACATCTGAGGACCCAATCAAAACCATCACCTTGCCATACATAGCAGGGGTCACCAAAAAGATTTCGAAAATCATGAGCAAACACAAGATCCAGGTACGGTTCAACACAGTACATAAAATTCGTGATTTGATCCCATCTATGAAGGATGTGATCCCTGACATGCAATACCCCGGTGTCTGCAAACTAAGCTGTGTCTGCGGCAGCAGTTACATTGGGGAAACTAAGCGACATGTCTCGGACCGGGTTCATGAACATAAGGCAGATCTGAAACACGGTAGGACCAATACTTCAGCCATGGCTGATCATTGTTTTAACGCTGTGGGAACACACGAAATAGATTTTGCCAAGACGAGGGTACTCTGCAAGCCCACTGGCTATCAGCAAAGATTTGTCCATGAAGCCATCCAGATATATAAACACAGACACAATTTCAACCGAGAAGATGGATACAAACTGAGCAATCATTGGAAGGACGTTATTAACCTGTTTAGGTATAACTGGCTGTGATGTTCCCTCCCTACCTACCTATGTTAGCAGTTATTTTCGACTCATTCCAAGCTCTCTCCGAGCTTACATTTACAAGCAAATGTCTTACATTGACATGCTAATCTCTCACAATACAACGGCCACCCCCACAGTTTCGTTTGTCAAGATTTCTCCGATCTTACATTTACATGCAAATTTAATTTCTGGCCCCGCCCACTGACCCTTGGGCTACACCCATCTCAAACCTTTATAACTCCCTGCCTTAGCAGCGCTCCCACCATATATTTTTTCCTGCCCCAGCAGCTCTCCCGCTATATTTTTTCACCCGATAACGATTGCTTGTGTTGTGATCGAAACGTCATATTATTTAAAATTTTTGTACTATCTACGTGGCTTTACCGAAAGACCCAAAGACTATGAATTCCTGCAGTCACGAAATTCTACCTTTGCGTAAGCGCACAATGCGGTGACTCTCATGTCCACTCCTGGCCTTTTAGCCCGTGCTGCCCAGAAGCTGCCCCGAAGGTAATGGGGATGATTAATTCCACTCTTCACACAACAGACGACCTCACAACGGGCCGGTGAAGGGTGGTGTAAAGGAAGGGGTCCCCACGTGGTGTTCTGCCCCAGGCCTCTGGGGCAGAACATTCCACGATTCCATGGACCAGACCAGTGCCTCTCCTGTCCCTAGGGCCACTGCTGGCTTCCCACATCAGTGAGTCAAGTCCAAAGTGTCTCACTGCTTAAAAAACATGTAAAAAAATAACTATAGTTATTTATGATTTAAAGCTTTCGTGACTGCAGTGATTCATATTATTGGTTCTTTCGGTAAAGTCACGTTGAAGGAAAACAATAAAATAATCAAATATATATAAAACAATAAAATTCTCACGACGTCTCGACTGCAACACAAGTAGTCATCATCAGGTGTGAAAACCAACGGCAAGAACATTTGAAAGAAGTGGCGGTTTGTATTTATTTTAAAACGTTAGCACCACGGATAGCGATTTGACAGTTTGTTTAGATGGACGAGTCCATCTATGTTCGGAAAAGAGGAGGGGGGAGACGAAAAATTAATGTATGCTGTCTGAAAGCCACCGTAAGCGTGAACAATCAATTAAGACCCGAAATGGTTTATCAAATCCTTCCAATGATTGCTAAGCCAGAATCCATCTTCTCGGTTGAAATTGTCAATGACTTCTCCAAGATAGAGGTTCTGTTCAAGCCATCTGGCTACCATTAGAGATTCGTTCATGAGGCTATCCACATATACAAACACAGACAATTTCAACCGAGAAGATGGATTCTGGCTTAGCAATCATTGTAAGGATTTGATAAACCATTTCGGGTCTTAATTGATTGTTCACGCTTACGGTGGCTTTCAGACAGCATACATTAATTTTTCGTCTCCCCCCTCCTCTTTTCCGAACATAGATGGACTCGTCCATCTAAACAAACTGTCAAATCACTATACGTGGTGCTAACGTTTCAAAATAAATAAATACCGCCACTTCTTTCAAATGTTCTTGCCGTTGGTTTTCACACCTGATGATGACTGCTTGTGTTGCAGTCGAAACGTCGTGATAATTTAATTGTTTTATATATATTTGATTATTTTATTGTTTCCCTTCAACTTGACTTTACCGAAAGAACCAAGAAAATATATATATAGTTATTTAACCAAGTAAGGCCCCACTGAGCTATATAGCTCTTTTTTCAGAAGCGACCTGGCCACAAACGATAGCTGAACGAAGTGGCTTATCCTGTGCAAATCTAAAGCAGCCAAATACTCTAAACACACGTTGATGCTAAACGTGGAGGGATAAAACCAGAGGACCCGGAGAAAAATCACACTCCAAATATACAGCAGGCGTCAGGGTCGGGATCGAACCCACGACCTCCTGTATACCAGGAAAAGTTAGTTAACATCTCCTAGCCACCGTGATGATGATGACAGAGAGAGACGCAAACTACAAATATACAGCAGGGGTCAGGATCAAACCCACGACCTCCTGTATACCAGGCGAGGTAGTTAACATCTTGGCACATTGGCGTCCCTCGCCACCATGGTGCCCCATGACCAATGACGCCCCATTAATCTTCACACAAGCACCGCTGCTCACTTTCCACGGAGCAGTCTTTACTTTACTCATTCTGGAACAATAATGAGCAGGCAACCTCCAACCAGGATTCAAATCCACGCTTTTCCGACTGCAGTGACACCCGGCAAGCTCGTTGGAAAGGCGTATCCACTTACTCCAAATGAATTGCTACAATACAAATGTCTGG